GTACAAGTGAAAGCTGCAAGTAAAATTTGAGGTACTTGGTTTCTCTGATAGTATTTTTAAAATTTTTAGAACCAAATATGTTGGAGACGTCTCAACCAAATATAGACAAACTATATAGTTTTGGAATCGGGAAATTGTGTTCTTCAAGAATATAGAACCAAATAAAAAAAGCTGAAAGCATGCAATATATCACATTTCTGACATTCAATTTTTGTTTTTGACCATGGATTTTAAAAATTTGGCCAATACTGTACAACTTTTGTATTCACACCTTTCATCTACCTAAGGTAAAGGCTGTAGGTGGGATGTCAATGTATGAAAAAACACCTTATTGATTTTGTATGAATATTTATTTATTAGAACAAAAAAAAAACAATACACAACTCAACCACTAATGATATACTGTTTGAGGTTAAAGTTCTTGGGACAAAGACAAAAGTGTGATTTTTTATAGGTTTCCAGCTTTCTAAACATTCTTAAAACTTAAAATATGATTCTGTTTTCTTTTTTTTTTTATTATTTTTTTTTTTTATTTCAAAAACTGTGGGGGCAGTTGCCTCCCCTGCCCCCCCCCCCCCCCCCCCCCCCCACTGTAACCGCCACTGGATTCACGCAATCGAAAGCTTTTGAAAAATCCCAGAATGTTGCCGCAACAGCCTCCCCGCAATTTATTATTATTAATTTTTACAAAGGATGAAATTTATTTTAACATTTTCACTATATTGCCTTCTAAAACCAGTGGTAGGTATCTCACGGAAATATCAAGTGTTGATTAGCAATGCAGCAAAAAAAAATTAGATCTACGAGGTCGGTAGGTACCTCATTTCAAGATGAATCCAAATTTCACTTTTCTTTGTTTTTCGGTTGAGGATGCATAGTAGGTAGGGGAGAGTGGGTAACAGTGGATCACGGGGCACAATGAATCATCTACCATAGCTTTACATACTTTTGGCGTATGCGCGGGAAACTACTGTCGTTTGTTCCTTTTAATTATTTCCCTTCAGCCCATCTAGTCGCTGTCACGATATCGAAGGGGTAGGACGTTCTACGTCGCTCTGGGCAACAGGCAAGTACGAATCTTTTTTATCACGTGTTCCAAAAATTTGTGTTGCATTCAACTGAGTAATAATTCTGGGTATTTGGGTGCAGTGGTATGCTTGGTACTGTTTATATCAGTTGTAAACTATGTTGTTTTTTATTTAGTAGTGTTCGTTTTTTTTGTGTAGATTTTTTTTAAAAATAACTGCCATTGGGTCACAGCGAATCATTTTGTTTTGGGGTTCAGTGGATCAGTGATCCATTGTAACCCACAATGATCCACTGTGACCCGGTAAGCTATAACTCAACTTATACTTACTTTTTGATAGGCGAAAATGCCTCGCAACAGGGAAAGAAAAACTACTATCGGACTTCACACCGAACAACAGATGCAAAACGCTCTAAGACTTATATCGGATGGTCAGAAAATAAGGGCTGTTGCAAGAACCACTCATATCCCATACACAACTTTAAACAGGTATTACAACAAAATTCGGAATAACCATGATCCTGATAGGATAATTAGGCTTACACCTAATTACGCAGTTCGCAAGATATTCACAGATGCGCAAGAAAAAAGTATTGTAGATTATGTTATCAAATGCAGCCAAATGTTCTATGGACTCACAATTATGGACGTTCGACGCCTAATTTACGAAGTAGCAGTGCTGAACAATATAAAAGTACCAGAAAAATGGCACGAAACGAAGCTTGCTGGTATTGAGTATTTATATAATCTCAGAAAAAGGGATAATCGATTATCTTTGCGAACCCCTTAGGGGTGCAGCTTAAGTAGAGCGACATCTTTTAACCGCCACAATGTGGATATATTCTTCAATAATTTAGAAACTGTTATGTCTAGACAGGCAGTCTTTGGCAATGGGACTAGAGTATATAATCTAGATGAAACAAATACTATGACGGTTCAGAAATCTGGCAAAGTGCTAGCTGCCAAAGGACAAAGGCAAGTCTCCAAGGTCACCAGCGCAGAACGAGGGACGTTAGTAACAACTTGTTATATAATTAGCGCTTTGGCGCATTGCCACCAGTAATGATATTTCCTAGAGTGCATTTCAAGCAACATATGATCGCGGACGCTCCGGCTGGAACCTTAGGCCTAGCTACACAGTCTGGCTAGATGAACTCAGAATTATTTGTAGCAACTATGCAGCATTTCATAACACACACAAACAGCAGTAAAGAAAACCCAAGTCTGCTCATATACGATAATCACGAGTCGCACATTTGTATAGAAGCCTTGAATCTAGCAAAACAAAATGGTGTGACCATTTTAACAGTGCCGCTGCATTCAACCGGGAAACTTCAACCTCTAGATGTCGGAATTTTTGGACCATTCAAACTTGCATATAATAAGGCAGTTGACAGCTGGATGATGCGAAATCCTGGGCAAACTTACTCAATATATGAAGTGGCTGGATGCGTTAGGGAGGCCCACATGAGAGCTATGACACCCGGACAGGTGACGCGGCTTTCAAAGCGACAGGAATTTTCCCCTTCAACAGAGACGTCTTTAGTAATTTAGACTTTGCGCCTAGTGAGGTTACTGATCGACAAATGAATCTGGAAAATGAACCAAACCAATGCAATCTACCAGAAAACCATAATGCACGCGTTGATGATAGTAACAGAACAAGAACTCCATCGCCTTTAGTACGAGAGACTTCTTGCACTCCAACTGAACAAATTATTAAACAACGTGATATGGCTAGCACTTCCAGTTCATCTGCTAATGCGCTTCTAATACATCCAGATATTGCAAGCGAGAATATTGTTACAGAGGCAAAGCCGCAAACTCCGGTCATGGCCATGGCTTTAGCTGCTACCGTTACATCCACAAATTCTGAAAAAAAAATTGTGAGCCCATTCGAATTTCGAGGGTTGCCTAAAGCAGGTCCGCGAAAAGGAGGAAAAGCACCAAGACGTAAAGGAAAATCGATTATTGCAGCTGACACACCAAACAAACAAGAGATAGAAGAGAGGGAAGCAAAGAAACTGACAAAAATGGCTGCAAAAAAAACGAAAAGAAAAATTTTACAAGACAGCTCGAGCGAAGATGATGAGCAAATTAGTGTTTATTCAGAAGAAGATTCGTTTGAGGAAGAAGATGAATATGAGACAGTGGATTGCAAGGATTTTACTGTTCTGGCAAGTCTACCAAAAGAAGGAAGCTTTGTTATTGTTGAATTTGAGGTAAAAGGGAAAAAAATTTATTATGCAGCTAAAGTTATAGGAGAAAAGGAACATGAAGCCGAGGTTAGTTTTCTCAGAAAATCTGCCAAAACACTAAATACTTTTTTTATGCCAAACGTGCTAGATATTGCGATGGTTGCACTGAAAGATATAAAGATGATTTTACCGCAACCCAAGCTTTCTGGAAATACAAAAAGAAAACAAGGCATGTATCATTTCAATCTCGACTTTTCTAATATCAATTTACGTTAATAACATAAACTTGATCTTGAGTTTTTAAGTTTAAGAAATGATTGTTTTTTTTTAAAGGTTTAGGGTTCCAGAGAATTATTTTTGTTTTTAATTTGTTGTTTTTTAAAATATTCTAACGTTATGTTATTCCAAATCCGTAATAATAATGAAGAGTTTACGACTGAGTTTGAATATTTTTTATGTAGCTAGTTACATTTTGTATTTGGGCGGATAGAAATAAATGAGTTGTATGAAAAAAATAATCTTTCACTGTTTTTATTTCCATAGATCCAGTGTGCCCCAGTTGATTCACTGTTCCCCGTGCACCGATCCGAACTGACCCACTCGTGGGGCACATTGGATCTTTTACGAACTTTCATTTCAAAGGCTATATGTTGAAAATTTATGATATATTCGCCATCAAATTATTTTTTCTTTCAAGGCTTATATACTCTTCCTTCAACTAATTTGAGAGAACAGTGATTTAGCGATAAGTTTTGGAACTGTATGGGTTAGAAAAAAAATTGATCCACTGTTACCCACTCTCCCCTACCTACCTATCTGGAATTTCCTTTCTTATCTAATTTTTTTTATTGTATCACACTATTTTACATCCATTGAAAATTCTGCAGCAATTGATAGCAGGATTTGAGTAGGTTACAGGTACCCCTACATAGTGACTTTATTACCACAGTGGCGACAATTGCGGTCTCATTTTTGATTGGTTCAAAAATCCCATATGTTTATATTGAAAATGCCGCCATCTTGTTCCCAACCTCTTGTTACTTTTAAATATGAATATATAGGATTTAGGTGAACATCCATCATAAAACATGGAAAACAACGTATTTGATGAACCTAATAATGGTCATCAAATATGCCGATTTTAATTTTTTATGATAGATGTCTATTTAAATCTTACATATTAATATTTGAAAGTAACAAGAGGCTGGGAACAAGATGGCGGCGGGAACTCTATTGTCGCCACTGTATGTAACGGTTTATTTAGCCACTGTAGGTACCCCTATTCGCTACTGCCATCTATCAACAGCCTTCTAAGGCGCGACGTTAAATCATGGTATTGCAGAAAGTTCCTTCCAAACTACCTACGTAAAATATTTTGTAATTTTACTGAATCGGCTCAAAGGCGGCATTCAGATGTTTCCTGCTGCCATCTATTGGAATATTTCGCATATAGCGGCTAAAATCCTGCTAATTCAGGAAGTTGTCTCCTTCAAAAAAAGTTTATGAACCTTGAAGCTTTATATATCCTGCTACAGATGCTGCCAAGTACACCAGGAAGTTAACATTGATGCCAAATAAAAGACTATTTTACAATAAAAATATCCTGTAAATGAATGGCTTTGTTTTTCAAAGTTTCATAAATAAAGGTCAGGCTGTTTTAACAAATACTAATTATTGGAGCAACTTTTCAGGATTTTCTTAACGTACCTACTCGAGCAATGAAAATTGCAGAACCATGAAGCATAAATTCGGCAACTCTGGCTTTGCTTACTCAAGGAAATCAGTAAATCGCAGAATTTATGCATTACAATCATGTATTTTTAGCTATTATTTGTAAATAATTGAGGAAATGACCTTTGCATTTTAACATTGAAAAAAATTATTTTAGTGTTCAGTCAGATAAGCAGACGACAGTCTTGCTAATAACGGAGCAAATACCTTCTATTTGTTTGTTTAATTTTTTGTTATCTGCATGTAAAGTAATATCGTTTAAACTTTTATCAGTACTTTGATAATTTTATATTTTATTGTTACCCGAGCAAACAGTAGTGTAGTTGCAACGTTGAAGCGAACAGAATAATTAAACATGAGTAATTTTGGGTAAGTTGTTATTTTTTTATCGTTTCCTTATTATTGCCTACTATAAGAAAAATAAAATATCGTTGCATTTCATAATGGTTCAGGTGTCACCAATTTTAATTTGATAAGAATGCTTAAAATACTTCACATACTTTATTAATTATATTGCAAATTGTTGACAATGTTTGTTATGTTGTCATCTTGTTTATTGATTTTGAATGGAATTTTTTAAGGGTGGACATATTTTTCTTGCCACTATGGCGAATGCCGACAGTAAAATACTGATATTTTAAACTGGGCTGAATTTATTAGGTTATTCACCACACATGACAAAGTTCCTCCAAAACTAACAGAAAATCAAGAAGAATTTATTCGAACAGGGGTCTATTTATGCCTGTTGGAATAATATATTTTTTTTAAAAGTATTTGTGAACTTTATCGCTCCCATAGGTACTTTATAATTTCCATGTATTTCTGGGATTGGCGGTCTTCGATGTTTCAAGAAGCTATGTAGTTTTATAACTTCTTAAAGCATAAAACATAAAAACGACGGATTTTTTGACATCGGTTCAAGCTGGTCCTGATATTAATGGCGTTTGATGACATAATTGATTTAATAAACCATAAATAAAACGAATGCTCAATTACCTCACTTCCCATCAGTTTGTTTATAATTTTGTATTAGTAATATTACCTAGTATTAGAGTATTTATTATTTTCGTATTCGTTTTGAAACAGGGTTCTCATGATTCAGGCATGAGCTTTTTGCCACTTAAAAGAATCAAAATTGCCAGAAGACACTCGGACGAATGGATTTCCAAGTAGGTACATCCGGGATATCTCATCAGGTCTAGCCTCTCAATCTGGTCGCCACTGGTCCTGAGAGGACCCCGCACAAACCTTATGCAAAATGGCTGAAGTTTTGAAATTGGGTAGATTTCGGTATTCTGAATAAAAGTTATAATTGCGCAAAAATGATTCCATGTACAGTTTTTGAGTAAATGGGCTTAAAAGATGGTATTGGAAACGCATGTGGCTTAGAGGTAGTAGATGCTCAACGCTATCAATCGATACGATTAGCGATTGTTGAAGTCTAGGATCAGTGGTTCATATCTCAGCCGAGATATAATTTTTTTTTTTGGGTTAATTTTGAATAACTATAAGGTTTGTTCCAACACGTCAACACGGGGGGGCAAAAACCTGACTTATTTTTATTTTTTAAACTAGCTAATGACCCGCTGCGTTGCCAGCGTGAAAATACATTTTGAAATAATACACTTTTTCTCAAATTTTTTTGTTGATTTTCTAATTTTTTTTTTTAATCCGATACCAGAGTCGCTTGCCAGTGAGTTCAGTGACGCATTTTGAGCACTCCAGAGCTGCTCTAGAGCGCCCGGGCTGTTTATAGGCGTTTCAGTGTAGGTATCACAGTTTCGCCCAACTGAACTTTTTTTTTTCGGGATAAAAAATAGCCTATATCACTTCCCTCTATAGCCGATTGACCGGACTAGATCGATCTGGTTCAATTTAGGTGAACCACACTGTGTTCGATTGAGGTTGCACCTTCATCAACAAAAAAATGATCTAGATCAGAAGAAGTTCACTTAAATTGAACCCAAATCGATCTAATCTAGGTCAATCGAATTCGGCTTATATAGAGATACGTGGTATTAAATTCAAGATCGGTCCAGCCGTTCTCGGATTCAGCAAATAATAAAGTTACGTCGGTCGAATGCGCAAGCCTAAATAAATGAAATGTGGCAACGTTGTTTCATGTTGTCAAAAAAAGTTGGGTTATGTTGTTATGTAATAAAGTGAATGAGTTTGTTTATAAATAAATTAATAATTAATTCAAAATTAATTTCTTTTTCCGAGATGCGTAACCTATCCACAAACCTTCCTTGGGATGGCCATAACAACCTATCAAAGTTTCATCGTAATCGGCTAAGTGGTGTAGGAGAGCATAAGGCACAAAGAAACAAACATTGATTTTTATATACAGGGTGATTCATAAGTAAGCGGCATCCTTTTGGGGGCGTCTTCCTTGCATAAAAATAAGACAAAAAGTTCTTATTAACATGGGTCCGGAAATGCTTCCTAAGGGAGTTACTCCCCTGTATTTTATAAACATTTGATGGCAATTAAGATACTAAATTGAAAGTTCAAAAATCAGTGGTGTCACATACTAGGGAGGGTGAGGGTTAAAACATCCCTATTTTTTTTACTCGTCAGGTTTTTGCGATGCTGATTGAAAATTCAGAAAGTTTACAGTTTTTTACACAAAAAAGGTACTCTTGGTTCAAATCGATACAGCGTACCGTTTACGAGAAAATTTTTTGATTTGTGTATGTTTCGCAAAAACCTGATGAGTAAAAAAAAAATAGGGATGTTTTCACTCTCCCCAGTATGTGACACTGATTAACATTTTTGAATTTTCAATTTAGTATCTTAATTGCCATCAAATGTTTATAAAATACACCAATTTTCAAAATCCATTTGTGAAGGGTTTCAAAGTTATACAGAAAAACACGTCTTTCACGTGTCCTATACGAAGGGGCGTAGCTCCCTTAGGAAGCATTTCCGGACCCATAATAATAGGAACTTTTTGTCTTGTTTTTATGCAAGGAATACGCCCCCGAAAGGATGCCGCTTACTTTTGAATCGCCCTGTATATAGAAGATAAGACCATTTATTGCCATAGCAACGCGAAGATTAACATTTGACATATACCTAGTTGGTGGGTCGTTCGATAACATATCAAAATATTTGAGAAAATTTAGATTTTTCTTCATTATTTATGTGCTATAAATAATAAAAAAATTCACGAAAAAAACGTTTGAAGAAAAAAATATCGTGTTCCATTCCGAGTGTGAGCAACTTTCAGTATCACTTTTGCTATTCTTTTTTTTTTTTTTCTTTTGGTAGCAATGGTAGCATCATGAGCTTGATCTGTCATAATAGAATTTTGCTTTTACATATTTTTTTTTTGAATTTGCAAGGCAAAACTTCTAGTGCGTCTGCTCTGGTTAGGGAATTTCCGTGTTTTTGTAGTTTAATTACTTTAAGATCCGTGACGCTTTTTGTTCAGTGATTTTATTCAAGACAATAACGCAAAAATCACTATAAAACTAGCACAACTGGTTAGAAAACTTAATCATAACTAAATGTCTTATTATCGGCTCAGTGATGTTTAATTTTGTTACTGAATCTCCCTCGATGGCCGACTCCGTTTTATAGAGCGTCAATCTCCGGATCAATTATTGGCGTTTCAGTTAAAAGTTTGTTGGAAATCAGCAAACTTGTTCTTAATAGCCTTTTGTTAAAAGCTCCGAAGGACAGACATGTAGACCAGTCAATGGAAAAGTTTTATATTCTAAGAGGGCTTTATACAAATAATTTTTAGAATTATTAGGTCTGCAGAAATCACAAACCAGTCAGAGCGAATTTGATTGGTTGAAAACAGTCAGAAACAGTCGGAAAACTAATTTCAACCAATTAAATTCACTCTGATTGGTTTGTGATTTCTGCAGAAACAGACCTATTGCATTTTCTCGAACTGCTTTTAAAAATGCCAAAAGATCTCCCACTCAACCCATTCGAGTTTGGATATCTCTGGCTGGATCTGTAAATATCTTATTAAAAGGTTGATTATCAGACCTAAAGTTGACCGGTATGCCATGTGTCGAAAAAATTACTTTAAGTTTGCTGATAACCTCTTCTACAGTTTCACTTTGCAAGCGAACCAAGTCTATCAAATTACTAAAATAATCAATTGAAGTTAAATATTTTATACTAGCATAAGTTAATATATCTGCCACCACCTTTTCAAACGGAATATTTATTATTCTTTCATGTTGAACCAGTGGTTCGTTGGGAACATTACGACTAAACTTCGAGCATGTTTCACACTTTGACGCAAAGTCCTGCCTGAGACATTCCGGGCCAATAAAATATCTTCCTAGTTCTAGCTTTCGACTTTTCGATGCCAAAATGTCCACTGTGCAACTTATTTAACATTATCAATCTTAGAAGCTATCGAACCACAAGCCTAAAATTATAAAATAATGGCTCATTATACACATGTTAATCAGTTTTAAATTTAAAGAAAACTTTAATTTTACGACTAACAACATGCTTTTTATCAGCCCAAAAAGACTGACAAAATTCTATAACTTGCTTTGAAACAAAATCTTATTTAGTAGCAATTCGTAATTCTTGTAACCTTTCTTCAAGAAATAAGAATATCAAATTCAAAATCATGAACTATATTTTTTTCATCGATCAATCTTTTGTCCATTGCCACTCTGAATTCTTTTTTATTAAATTTCGCAAAAGTGATAAAATTTCAGAAAGTTTGGGCATATATTTTCATGGAATTTGTATTGGAGTTTCGACTTATTAAACTTTACTTCAAACTTTTCTGCTCTTCTCATCACTTCCTTCAGGATTCTATCATGTTCCTCTACCAGAATTAGGCTGTTATAAAATCATCAAAATATAATCCTGTGGACAAATCTGCAAACAATTTCTCATTCATACGCTGAAATACTTCAGGGCTTACATTAAGCCCAAACGGCAACCTGTTGAAAAAAATTTTCCCAAACGGTGTTATAAAAGTACCTACAAAGTTTGCGACTATCAGAATCAAGTGGAACATGATAGAACCCCTCTTTCAAATTGAGTAGGTGCCAGGGCTGGGACTCTGTAACGGATAGAGATCGTTATCCCCATCGCTATGGCACTTGCTTCCTCTTCTTTCCTTTAGAAATCAATAGAGAGGAGCAGTCAATAGATATAGAGAAAAGATCTCTATTCGTTACAGAGTCCCAGCCCCGGTACCGTTCAATTTTTTTTTCTTTTAGTTTTAATACCAAATGGTCCAACTCCAAACACACATATTTATTTGAAAAGATTGGGTCAAGACAAATGCGTAGGCCTCTGAAGGTTTCTCTGTGGGTCCCTGAACTTGTGACATAATTCCTCTAGCTTCCAAGTCATTTTGGTTTTATTGCCTCAGGAAC